GGTTTATGTGAATTAATCCTCCTTTCTTTAACACGTCATCTCATCATTCGTCAATTGCACACTTCAACATCACCCATAAAATCCACCCAGTCATGTCTAAGCAATCTATCATTACTTCATCTGTGTCTTCCGGCTATCAGACCAACAATGGACCTGCCTCCAAACCTTGCTGTCTGTCATGTGTGGTACACCATCCAGACAACAACCAGGTATGATATTCACTGCTTCTGACTCTGGCCATGGCCTAGTTGACTTGGGGTCAGCTTGAGATGTTTGAGATGAACATGTTCATTGGCGTCAAGAGTGCTTGGCCTCTCTACCTCTCAGGGGCCAAAATCAATGCTCACATACAGGTGAGCATTGTACACTTTACAGAATTCTCCAAAAAAGATTGTTTTTTGAAAATGTATGAGTGAATTGGAATGTGATCCTATATGTATGACACCTGATGAAAGTGCTATGAGTGAAATGTAGGTGTACTAGATCCTGCTCTTAACAATAGTGACTAACCTGTTAAAGGTTAGGATAATAAGATAAATCACACAATAATAATGTGAGCTGTGATCCATGTCAAAGATGAGACTAACAAACTTTCAGATATTGATTCTATTCAGAGGAAAACAAATTTATGAAATACATACACTCTCTTCTCCAAAGATGGGAAAAGAGAACTACAACAGAGAGCTTTAAGGGTTATAAGGAAAAGGGATTTGACTAATTGGGGTTAAATGAAACTTATTCATTCTCGTCTATCCTTCATTTAAGCGGTCCTTTCTTCTTTAACACTAAAGGCTTGTTAAGTTTACTTATGTCTTTTACTAAATTATCTCCTTACATTGATTGAACATTAACATTTTTCTTTCAGATTCCTTCAATTGACAATTTTGGTAGTGCTCAGGTGATCAGGATGTTTTGCTCAAATTTTGCTGTAAAGTCCCCTCCAAGTGATTTACGTAATCATGCAAGTTCTGCAGCGGCAGGGCCAGGGTCTGTCCCAAACCCAATGATTACAATCCCTAGGCGTGGGGACATGTACATTGCTGGATAATGCTCATTTCCATCTTGGATGAGCATTCTTTAAGCACAGTGTCTCAGATGAGTACTCAGAACAGCTCAGAACCTTGCCCAAAATTCTGGATCAGCAGGCTCCAAGGCATGCTCCTGGAGATCAGCTGAGGGGCCAAGATGAAGTGAGCAGATGGGCCAGCCCCCCTTCAGGCTTCTTTGCTAAGGAATGAAACCTGAGGAAAGCCTAGGATATCTGCTTGGTTCTTGCTGATTGTGTAATCAGCTGATAAGCAGGAAGAAAATGGGAAGAAAAGGGAAAGAGTTTGGAAGTAAAATTGAACAAACATTGAAAAAACAAGAAAATTTCAATGCTGACCCCAATGTGAGGATCTATTCTTGCCCCAGTGCCTGGAGGTCTAGATATCAGTAAACCAGCTTGTGCCTTGGTTTTTGTTGTTCCAAGTAAGTCATTTTGTTTTATGAATCTTTTATTTAATACTATTTCTTATCCTCTTTCTTATTCTTGATGATGTTTAGGACACAGGTACCTCAAACTGGAACCAAGAACACTCTGCCTCAGTCTCAGAAGTCGAGATAGACAACACAGTGAACCCTTTGCACCAACCAAGGGCTCAGACAAGTGAAACTGTGGTTGAATGTGGGGTATGTATTTATCACATTTCATCGTCATATCACCTTTCAAAATTTTATACTTACTGATTGTTTAAGGATGCTGATGCGAGGACACCCCCCCCTTCACTCGGAGGACACCCCCCTCCCTGTATTACAGATGTATTCAATTCAATGATCTGATTTTTAAAAAAATTGTTCATTTCAAATCGAGCGATCATGCAGCGCTCGATTTACTTACATCGGACATGAAGATTATACTTATGTATGATCTCAAATCTCATCGGAAGCCTTGTTGACGAGCTTACATATAGAAGACCTCTCAAGTGGCACATGATTGGTTCAAAGGGATGTAAAATCTTCAATTGCAATGATCATCTCAGACTCAAATGGCCTCGGCCTCTAGAGCCCTATTAGTATTAGGACAGCTGCGTTTGTCATGTCCTCCTTCCCGACAAAGCCCACATTTTCTCTTTGTTGGTTGAGTTGAAGTTTGATCGGCTATCATATGCTCAAAATGTGATAGATCTCTTTTGGTAGAGTTTGAAGTGGCCCCAGAAGGCCTTCCTCGAGTTCGGATCGGGATAGGATCGCTGACAGATCCTGTACAGTTTTTTAGTAAGTCGCTGAGACCGTTCTCGAGGGTGAGTTGAAGATGTGGAGGTAAGTTTGCGTGTTGTATTCTTAGATGGTGGAATAATTCACTGGTGGTTGGTGTAGACCGATCACTTGAGTCATGCCTGACTCGGTTCAAATGCCAGTGTGGATCAAAGTGCTGGATCATGAGTGATTCACCTGAATCAAGCAGGTGACGGATGAAATGTGAACAAGGTAAACCTTGAGACCCGTTGAATACATATGTGCAAGTTGATGTGGTTGTGATTGAAACTGCTTTTTGATACTGTTCCAAGGTCTATGGATTATGATAAGGATTTCAGCCAACATACGACAGTTTGAATCATAAAAAACTTGATGCTACACACTAGGATCAATGCGTGATGTGAAATCTTGCGATGGACCCGATGCCAGAAATCGCTTCGAAGCTGAATGAGATTGTGGGTGCAATCATATGAGGTTTTATGAGATATCAAGTTAACTTGTTGTTCGCATGCAAGGTTAATCTTTACGTAAACACATTGAAGATCGCCAGTAGATACCAATATCCAACCCTTTATATTGGCGTGACCCCCTTTGGCTCGTGAGGTAACTGTGTGACCAAAGTGTTTCACATCCTTTGTCCAGGCAAGGACAAACATTTCTTTATACTTGATCCAAGTCTTGTCAAGATATTGATACCCAGCCGGCTTGATATATTCTTGAAGTTGCTGAAATCGTTCTGCGAATTCTTCGGGAGAAATCGAGTCGCAAACCTCTGTCCATTTGGCTTTGAATTTATTCCAATCCTCGCTGTCTTCGTTTCCGTTTTTTCCAGGAAAGTATTTCTTCAAGTTTGCATTGATATTTTGATTAATATGCCATTTACACAGCAAGTTTTTTCCTTCCGGGAAAGCTTGACTAATCCCACGCATCAGGGCGAGTTCTCGATCGGTAACTACAACGACTTCTTTTGATATAAGTGATTTGTAGGCAAGTTTGACGTGTTCCAATGCCCATATATAATCCTCTTCAGTTTCTCGATGCATGAAACAGTAACATAAGGAGAGTGTTTGATGTGTTGATGTGACACCTACAACGTGTAGAAGTGGCATTTTGTATCTGCCCCAAAAAGATGTAGTTCATATGAGTTTCCGTTGCTTGATCAAGATATCAAAGAGACAACAACACCTGTTACTCTTGTATGTCGAGTCCATCAGCAGCACATCTGTAGCACCGTAGGTTTTAGCTGCTGAGACACATAGATTGGGTGCAATGAAAAGACGGAGCAAGTGGTTATTGGTGTCTTTCTCATATGCATGATAAACAGTTTCTTCCTTGAGGGTGTCGAGTAAAGCTTCAAGTGATGTTCGTCCTTGGAGAAAATCAGCCTTGTGCCGACTATTCAAGTTATAGATGTCGCGAGGTATGCTTAAATTAGTGGGGTCTGATAATTTCACATTCTTCAAGATAACTCGAGGTGCTGTTCCGCATATGTTCATCTGTTTGACTTTGTCTTGCTGATTGCTTGTCAGAGATCTTGCACCGGGTATTTCTACTAAAGACTTTGAAGGCTCGTGGTTATGTTCATTCATGGTGATTAGAACCCTCCATTCATACACATCATCAATTATTGCTTGGCGTTTAATTTCAGCTGACCATGGACACTCTAAGAGCCGAGTAGATGTTTTTCGTATATTGTTTTCCTGTGGTCGATGCTTTCCTCCATGAGCACATTCTAGCCACACTTTTCTGACACATCCAGTTTTGCTTTTCTTTGAGCGGAGTCGGTTCAAAAAGTATCCACGACTATTAGCGTAGCCTTGAATGGCATCCTCTGCTTCCTTGCATGAAGTGTACGGTAGCTGATGTGGTTCGAGGCCTAGTAATACTGGATCAATTGGCGTGGTGTCAGGCATTAGTTGAAAACTTTGAAGATGAATATGTGGTGGATGGTTTCCAGTGGATTGAAAAAACATGTGGGCCATGTTTTTTTCTTTCAACTGCATACATATGTAACTTTAAGTTACTCAATACATATGTAATACAGGGAGAGGGGTGTCCTCCGAGTGAAGGGGGGGGTGTCCTCGCATCAGCATCCTTGTTTAATTGTTGAAAACCTCTAGGTACCATTGGGACCACCAATAGTAGATTCAGCACTGTATTCAGACAAAGAGGGTGAACAGATTTACTAACAAAAGCACAATCAGCCTGCTGAGATTGAATATACTAGTTGTTACGTGTTCTTTGGCAAACCAAAACATGGAGTTAATCAAAATGGAGAGCGTGATGTAGGTATATTTCTTTCTCTTCTATCAATTCCTTTTCTTCCATTCTTTCTCATCATGTCTGATATTCAAAATCTTTGTAGCCACTTGATGCACCACCACTTTCCTATACTTGTATGTGGTGTATCAAGATAGTAGGTATTAGAGTAAGCTCACAATCCAATCTCAAGGTTCATCAGGATGGGAGCAATGCACCTGGAAAGTCCGGTGTGTGGTTTTTCCGCTGTCAACAGGCAGTTGCAGCTGGTGTAAGGCATTCAAGTTTTTGAATACAAACCTTTCACCTAACATTGAGAACTGGAATTTCTGTCCAATCACACCAGGACAATTCTCAAAGTCAGTGAAATCAGTTGTAAATCACCCTCCAAATTTTTTTCCCTCCATTTTGTTTCTAAACTTGGATCACTCCATGTTTGGATACTATTGGCACAATACTCGGGGGCTATCAAGATCTCTCATTTTTTCTCACCAAAGAAGCTCTTAGGTCCCATGTTTGTTTTTCTTAACTCTTGACATCACTCCTGTACACTATGACAGCCAATATCTTACTTTCTCCCAGGTCTGATAGCTCATTACCTCTGAAGTTCATTCATATAAAAAGGGTTCCTGATAGTCTAGCCAGTTCACCAGACATGCAGCTTTAGTCCTTTGATTTGCCATCTTCCATTCATCTTGAGCTGAAGTCCATAACCCGGAAGACATACCATCCAAGAATGTGGTGACCAGGGGGGTGATGCGCTAGAAACACAGTCCTTTGCCTTAGTCAAATGAAGACCCAAGACTTTGTGTTGGTTGTCCTTCATGCCATAATCGAACCAAAGGGCTGAAGCTGTCTTGGGTTCATCTAAGACTCCCTAAGCAATAATCATCTTGCCAAGATAGTCTCATTGACATCCAGCATACAAAATCTTTGACAAAAGGTAGTAGTGTTCTGCATGATGTGCCAGGAACATTGTACAGCATGCAACCAATTGATGTCCCATGTGAAATGTATTTTTGCTTGCAAATGTACAAATGTGGAGTCACCTTTGTGCTTTGAAGCACATTGTGCCAATTGACTCGTACCTGTACTGTATCATAAGAGATCAAATCTGGGTTGTCCCTCTTCTGATTTCAATATAATAGCCTGATAGGAAGCTCCGGTATCAATGGGTCACCTCCTCATCGAATGTGCAAAGTTCGAGATCTAGATTCGGACGATTTATGATCAGCAGAGGTAGAAAAAACTCGTAACAGGTCTAATGGATTGAATAGTGCAGAAAAGATCTCATCAATACTGCTCACCTGTGAATGAGTTCAGAAGGGCCGTATACGAAACCTAGACGAGATAAATATCAGTTTTTCATGATCCTCGCAATTTGTCAAATGTTCTGCAGCTATTTTGTTGACATGACCCTCGCTGTGTAACTCACATTTGCAATCCATGGTGCTAATGCGTGCTGGCTAGCAAGATTTTCGGCCCTCTTGACCACGTCAACAGCTCGTTCAACAGCCCGAACATCCTCTCTAGAGTTTTTGAATCGACCAGCTTCGACCACAAATTGTTGTCGAATGGCCAAATAAGATATGATAGTTGAATCCAAGTAATTGATATAATCTCGTACCTAAATAAAGATGAAGTTCTAATCATGAGCCGGTCTGGAACATAAAGTGAGCCCATGTAATCATTTACCTCGGATAGATTTTGACAACACGTTGTTCCGTCAGCTAACTGTATCGATGGCTGTCCCCATACGGCTGAGCCCTTCTGGGCTGAACTCCGGGTGGTTCGGTTCACTTGCTCAGCAGGCCCGTAGTAAAGTCCACGTCCCCATTGGTCTACTGTCGGGCCTTGAAAGACTTGTGATTCAGCAAAGCATTTACTGGTTTGATTCTGAGTCAAGGGTAATGATAGTGTGGTGGGCAAAGGAACTGAGTCGAGGGTACGAGGAGCCGAGCCGATTGTGCTACCGATATAAACCAATGTGATGGCGAGAAGAGCTCGGAGCGTCATGGTGTAGCGAGATGAAGAGGTAGATGGAACAAGGAGCGTTCTGAACGTCTGTGAAGAGCAGCTGCAGTCGTGAGTTGGATCGGTCGCATCGTTCAAGTCAACTGTCAGCCTAAGGTCCTTTTATACCACGGGGACCAGCTCTATTTATAGACCCTGAGGCTGAGTGTCCACTTCCAGACTTTCGTACAGTCCTTTCGTCTTATGTGGTCTCCGGAGTGGCTGAAACTTAGAGTGTCAGAAGATTTGTGGAGCTTGAACTTCTGAGGAGCCTTGAGGTCACCTGTGTTTGAAGTGGTCAAAACAAAGGATCAGAAAGTGCTCAGCTTATTTTATCATTTTCGCCAACAGCCTGGTATTTGCAGACGAATAAATGCACTACGCAGCAAAAAAATCGTGGCATTATCATCACCTCTAATCTATGCGCTCAACTTAGGCTCAAGTCATTCACCTGGACCAGAAGAGGGGAGCGAGACCAAGATCCAAGACCTTGTCATCCTCAGAGAATGATACAACATACCTCGGGATCCATCCTTGTTTTTGTGAGCTGCAGGAGAGCAAGTCAAGGACATAACATGCACATCTTCCCTTGATTAACGTGAACCGAAGGACTCAGGTCAAGGAGATGAAAGGAGACGCCAAATCACAAACACAGTTGTTAATAACTGTGATAAGACCTTTTGACGCGAAAGGTGTGAGCTGTGATGCGCTATTGAATCAAGCTCAATCAATCCAACTGTCATTTCAAACTACATTTACATATCAAGATCAGAACATAGCCCTCCAAGATAAATGGGAGTGTTTATACATCTACAGAGTGGAATGCTTTGAATTTTACAAAACGGAAGAAGAAAGTTGACTTTGCTGGTCTTTTTCACCGATTCCTAGTACCACCAAATCCAGTGGAAGACCTAATAGGGCCCATGTTACTCGAATCATCCATATCCCTTGAACTCCCTTGACCTCTATACATCGCTCTAGGAGCTTCAAATCCTCGTCCACCAAAGAGCCCACCTGTACCAAAGCCCATGGGTCGTGTCATAAAAGGTGATTGATCAAAATCATATGCTCTTCGCTCTTGCTGTCGGTTCCCAAACAGACTTGTAGCAGCCGTTCCTGCCAAAAGACCTGTACGATCGTAGAATTCGATTCATAAGTTTGTGTCAATACTCCGCATTACAAAATGACTTCGTCATAATACTCAAAATGAACGGTAGAAAATGATTTCTTTCTGACTTACCAGTCCAGAATCCTGGCCTCCAAGGTCCGTCTGCACCACCCGACGTTTTGGGGGGAGGCGGGTTCCGGGGGGAATACGGTGGAGGTGGATCGCTAGGTCGGCCACCACCCCAGAATCGAGATCCAGGTCGGTTTCCCCATCCCCAACCACCACCCCCACCTCCGCCACCACCCCCGCCTGATCCTCCAAAGGATCCGGGAAAGTATCGGCTCACTGGTCGAAGTGCGGTAGAAAAAAGTGATCGAAGTAATGGATAGATAATAAAGATTCCCACAATTGCAAAGAGTGCCCAGAAGAGAAAACCTTCCACTACGAAATGTATCATGAGGCATCAGCTGATAAAGCCATGAAAGTGATGCCTGCTATATACACTTACATGACATCCCATCGCGAGTATGAGATGAAGAAAACCCAGCATCTTTCAATGTATAAGTCAAGCCACATGATCCTAATGAAATTCCGTAAATTATGGAAGTAAAATTCAAAGTAGTCTTCAACATTGGTTTTCTCTTAATGAAGTGAAGATTAACTTTGGAATCTTTGGGACAAGACTGACCTTCAAGAATATAAGGATCATCAGCATTTCGAAATCCTTCACAACTGACTTCTGTTCTACCAAGTTTAATACTTGAAGGTAAATCAGCTTCACATTTCCAATGAATATTACTACCAGATCCTAAACCAAATCAACAAGTCAGAAAAACTTCATATGAGACTTTTTTTCTTTCTTATCTTTTCATAACCAGTTAAACTTAACTTACCACCTGTATTCTGGCATTGAATCACATCTGGTTTAAAACGTTTACAAGGTTGTCCTTGACAGACTAATTGAAGTACTGGACTCGTACGTCGAAAGTTCGTTCGCTCTCCATCGTAGAAAGTTAAAGTATCGATAGAGGAAAGAAGAACTCGTTTTTGAGTTGCCATTCGATTTGTGTGAAATGATTGAAGTCTTGATCAGTAGCTATACGTATGGATAACGCGTTTGGTCACTTAAAGATGGCAAGGTTGAGCTGATGATAAGTATTCAAAGCTATGCAAAGGGGCAGAGACAAGCATGAAGATGATTTAAATGCCATCATCGAATTGACTCCTTTCCAAATTGCAGATTTCCATTCGAGAACGTTCGACCCTGACACGTCATAACTTTCAACGAAATCATCTCGGGTAATTTCGAGTATGTTCTGGTTAACCAGCGTTCAGGGTTGAAACTCGGCCCGCAGGTGATATTCCAACACTTCCAACCATCCCGAATCAATCGTCAACTCGTCTGATTCTTGACAATTCCACACCCATTATTCCTCAACGAGAATTTTGGTTGAATAATCAAGCATTTGGATTTTGGGAGGGAATTTTCTTATTCATGGTTCTTGCTATTTCATTGAGTACATGTTCTTTCAATCAGCATTGAGTCTAATAATTAGTAAAGTACATTACGTTTAGATATCCAATCATGCAATACATACAAAAATAAAAACTAACAACGAAACTCGAAACAAATCAAATGAAAAAAAATCAAAGAAAAGAAAAACACGACCGATAATTAATTGCTGTTTGATTTTCATCAAATACTAGGTGAAGGGAAGCTTTAGAGTGTAAAACAGATTAAAGATTGTGAAGAAGCTTAATCACTTTTTTTAGGGTTGTGAACAAAGGGTAGGGTAGACAGTTACGTAAATAGTAAACAGATTAAAACAAAAACAAAAAAGAACGATGAAAATAAAGAATAAAGAAATCTTGAAGTTTTGACGACAGAATAACAAAAACAACATAGATTCATATATGAACGACGAGAAGATCGAAGGAAAGAAGACGAAAACGAAGATGAAAAAACGGGTTATTGTTTCCAAAGTGCAGTTTTAAATATTCTGATCAAACCAGATCGATTATCAACTACTGCGATCTCAATCGAATTAGGATCTTGATCAACACCGGTTCCTTTCGGTTTAAAAACTGCACTAGTTATTACCAATTCACTTGATCCTGGTAAATCATGGTTAACTAAATTCAAAAGAAAAAAGTTTATAAGAAACCCAACTCGATCAGAACAGATTGGAAATAAAGAATCGTGAAAATGAAAGAAAAACAAAACAAACCTTTAAAGGATTCATGAAATCCTCTTTGATCAATTCCAAGTTCCCAAACATAAACTCTACCATCTTCTGAACCTGAAACCACCAGATCTGAATCATTATAACCCATTCCTAAACCGATTGAAGGTTTTAATTGACCAGATTGACTTTTGTGACCGGTTAAAGTTTCTTTAATGTCTGCCTTCTGATCAAGAACTCTAATCCTAGAGTCATTTGTAGCTACCAAAACCTCTTGGTCTTTGATCCCAACGATCGAGCTCACTTTTTTGCCAGGTCCTTTAATAACCTCTTGGAAAATCTTCAAAGTACGTGGATTGAATGATGTCTAGAAAAATCAATGGAATTTCGATCCAATCAGTTAGCAATTCAGTGTTTTAGAGAATATTAGACAGGAGATGATTCAAAGACAAGACTCACGACTTTACCGGAATAAAGTCCAGCGTATGCTAACGGAGCTGTGCTACTGTTAGAGAACCCAACTGAAGTGATACAATCTGGCAAGCCAGTCCAAGCAACAACTTTCGAATCTGTTAGATTCCAAAGTCTTAATTTCCGATCAATTGATCCAGACAAAAAATAATTTTCATCATTCGGATCTGGTTGATTCAGACCAAATATCAAGTCAGTGATTGAGTTTTCTCAAGACTCATCGTTTCTTCAAAAAGATGCTTACCACTCGAGATGGTCGTAACAAAATCCGTATGAATGCATTGTTTGACCTCTAAACCGGATTCAACTTCCCAAACCCGTACAGTTTTATCCATGGAAGCTGAGATCAAGAACTTTCCCGACTTAGTCCAAGCCAGACTGGTGATGGTATCAGTATGTCCAATAAGTTGTTTTGTAGGTTGATTAGACTTTGAATCCAGCTCAAAAAGGTGGATGATCTTGGATTGACCAGCGGTAGCCAACATGTTCAACGGGGCAGGAGCAAACTCTAAAGTCCAAAGCGATCGACCTGGACTAGGATCGGCCACCAAGACGTTTGAGAGATGTAATCCGATCAGGTTTTGATGTGAAGACGAACCTCTCCTGCTACGGGTTCGATTGACTTTGACTTTCAACAATGACTTATGGGTGTTCGAAGACAGAGAAGAAGTATATGAAGATGATCTTTCGCTTCGACACATACTTATTGATGAGACTGAATGACGGGAGTGGCTTGGAGTTAGATTTTGGGTTTGAGGGGATGAGATAAATGATGTAGGTCTGATTCTCAGCTTTGCTAATGCGGCTCGTGTCTTGGTACCCAGAGTTGAAGAGGTTGAAGAAGTGGATGATTTGCTTGGGTCCCTTCGAAAGAGTTTTGAATGAGCGATAGGAGTGTGTTGAAGAGAGTTAGACTGAGATGAGTGATTCGAAATTGTGGTAGGTGGTGAGGAAATCAATATTGATTGATGACCAGAGACTGAAGTGGAAGTGGAATTAGTTGATGAGACTGATGACTGTAAAGAGGGTGGTGCAGTCGGCGGTGTTGATTGATCGATTGTGTTTGAGACCTTTTTTGTGTCTGTTGATGGACATGTCTGAGTTGATGACAAGGTGGTATTGATGAGTTGATTTTTGATTTCATCATCTTTGATTTCAACTCGCTCAACAGTCGACTCGGGTTGGTTTTGAGAATTGAAAAGTGAAGGCAATTGATCAAAGAGAGTTGAGAAGAAGGTAGGGATTAATGGTTGATGCTGATCAAGTGAACGTGGTGGTTGCTCGAATGTGATCGAGTCGTTTTGTTCATCAAAGTTATCGACGGCACTGCTGGTATTGGTGAAAGGCAGACTGAGACTGATTGGATTGATAGCTTTGATGAAAGAGATGATAGATCTAGTTGAGCCAGAGATTGGGATAGCACTAGCAACCACACCATCACTAGAACTAGAACTAGGATCAACACTAGCACTAGCACTAGAGTCATTCGATATATTTAAGGGTTCCATTTGACTTGTTGATTATTCGCTAGTAAAATGAGCGAATTGATTTCCTGTAAAACTATCCAAAGAAAATAGCCAATACTCTATAAGATTGATAATATATTGTGTAATGAAGAGGTAATCCCGATTGGCTGGCTGGTAGTGTTTATGTAGTCCTTGTCGGTTGATCAGAAGTAGATTGGTAAAATTGATCTTGATGATTTTTAATTTTTGTAATAATAATCTTGAGTAAGTCCTGCCGGTTGGCTTTCTTTCTTTGGTTAACTCCTTCCTATTTGGATTTGCCCTTTTGACTATCTCCTCGGCCTCGATTGAAGTTCTGTGGTTGATTGTAAGTGCACTGTTATTCTTTTCAGGGCCGGTGTTAAATCAATTATCTATTTGACTTCAAAGAATAGGTCGGTTGCCCTTGAAAGCTTCTGTTTCGCTTGGGTGTACAGCAAAGATGCTTGCAGGTAGACCGTTAGCACATGGGTAAAGTAGACTTTTATAGACTTTGGTCGATTGCCATTTTGAAATTTGGACTCTTGACTAAGTGGATACTGCGGGTGGAGACGTACTCAACAAAGTCCCACGCTCGCGCCGCTGGTGGAGATCGAAATCATTGCTTATTCCGATGATTTTCATAAAGTATCTTTGCTGTTGAGAAGGCAGGAGTCGAGGCTGCAAGAGGTCAGAAATGCGGATGGCGAGGAAGAGCCTAGAGGAGAATTGCCACATCCGTATTGAACTTCGGGCATGTCTATTCTCGGTATCACAATTCTCCACAATCGAAGTCGACACTTTACATCAGGTCTCCGATCAGCCTCATGAGGCCCTCATGATTCATCTTCGTGACACGTTCAACTCAACTCAGTCCATCGCCCCGATCCCTCCCAGACAGAGAATCCGAAGCCATGACCAAACCAAGAGCCTCTGGAGCCAGAGCTAGCAACCAGGTGTCAACCCAACCATAGCTAAAGAACAAATGCAGTGAATGTTACCCAAATGCACACACACACCTTCCAAATATGACAATCTGATTACACCCAGCCTAAGGGGGCAAATGCAGACATTAAAAATTTGCAAAGAGGCACCCATGGCGCCCTACAAAGTTGGAACTACTTCTCAAACTACCTGACCCTTATTCCCAACCAGACTGCCACAGAGATAATAATAATGCCGGTGAAAGACTTGAAGCAACTACAAATTTCTATTTGAGTAGTATGGAAGCTCAGTCATTTTCTGACTGACACTTATCCCACTGCAATACTGGTGATGGGACAGGGGGTAGCAGAGAGGCTTGTGAGCCCCATGCTTTGGTCAGAGTTTGTTCACTCTTGCCCCTCCCTGAGCCTCCCTGGCCCTCCTGAGCTATCCCACAGTCCGCCCCCACATTTGTGGGGGAGAGCCAGGTGATGCGGGGAGTCCATCAAAAAGAAAAAGATCATAAAAATCACAAAAAGGGGTGGTTGTCTGGACTTTTCAGAAAGTTCCAGCACTATTTGCACAGTCCAACACTGGCTGTAGCAAATTGTCAAGTTCCATGCTGCCTGTTGCCAGATCTGGCTAAACCTTGCAACATTTGCCTTGTGAGTTGGTTGAGTTTAGGGAAGGAAGTTCCTTCAATGGTGGGTTGCATCTTTCTTCATTCCATTTGAAGGGATTACAAGAGCAAAGAGTAGATGTCTGCTACAGGTTTAAACATCATTTGGCATTTGTCTTGAGGAAATATGATACAGTCTCAGATTCAAATCCATGTTGATTGAGTCTCAAGGGGCTCCTGAGGAAAAAAATTGCTACCAAGAGAGTAACAATTGTTTCCCAGAAACTTTACTGCTTTGACCATATCTTCATCCAAAATCACCTTATTGCAACTCTTTTCTCAAGTACATGCCATGGCAGGAATTTATCTCACTGGTGATTTTGCTGCTGGTCAAAACACAGTCATATATGATCCAGAATGACATGACAACCCAAGCAACACACCCTCTACCAAAAGAAGCTGGATTTAAACTCACTTCAACCCTACCACCTGTGGCAAAAAATTGATGCGCTGTGACATCAAAGGGCGTGAAAGGATGCAGAGCACTACTAGATTTTGAACCCTGATCTACCACCAATTTCATTCAGATCATTTGATTGCAAAATACAAGCTTGGAGATCCCAACAAGTGGATCAAAAAATGGGCATGATGTAACCAAGAGGGTACATCAATGCTGGTCAAGGCAGATGCAATGTCTCCCCACTTAAGAGACATCTTTCTCTTTCATCAAAAACACCTTCAAGGTTGACACCATGCCAAATCTCCTGCTGTTGCTTATAACACACTTGATGCAAGGATCACACCAACAAAACACAGTGTTCATGCCAGTCACTACTCATATGATCAACTCAAATTTTGAGAAGGTCAATCTCCTTCTTCATATCTCCAACTCCAGGGTAAGCCATATAACTGAATAAACCAGGAGCTCACAATGACAAAACCTTTGCAGATCTGTTTATGGAGATTACCTCTAGTTATGTGTGTCTAAAGAATCTCGTTGAAATAACTACCAATAAGAATTTTTCCAACAAGACAATGGCAAATGGGACCTTTAAGGCTGACAAAAAACTGGGATGTGTAGCAAATCCAATCCTAGCTGCGGTTGCTGGTCTCAAAGTCTGTGGCCTGTTTGATGTTGAATCAGACACACAATTGCACTCTTCAGACAATCTCCCAGCCATTCCAATGGGTATCAATGCGCTTGTTGACACACCGGATGGAGCACCTGTTGATATGGTGTCTGTGTATGAACACTTGTGCCAGCCCTGAGTGTCTTGTATCAATTTGTCTGACTCTTCCCAATGGCAACACCAAACTAACCCAGACCAACAGTGGCTCAATCACTACTCCTTGATATTTGACCTTATTGGAACTCCCCTGTGTTGTATTGGTACTCAAGTCAGCCATTCTGCTCCTCATTCCTACATATTTGTGGACCTGACTTATGTGTGATGTGCACAGGAGTGTCTGTGATAAATTCTGTGTGACTCCAGAGGGTGCAAAGGTCAATCTACCAGCAGTTGAATGGAAGCAGCTCAAAGTAATGATGAACTTTCTCAAACCTCTTAACAATGCTACCAGAAAAATGTGTGTGAGCATGTACCCTACACTCAGCACTATCATTCCAATCTTTATTGTTGTGATCAATAACTTACAATCTGTGTGTTAGCTGATTGGGTCATATCTTTCTCATACAGTGATGCTGATTGTACACACCCCAAAAACCAGGCATGCCACACACACAACACAAATAAGTCCATTACAGTGGCTGATAACCTGATTGAAAAGCTTGGATTGTACCTCATTGCCACCTTGAAGAAACAAGGTCCAGTCTGTTCAACAATTCTTGACCCTTGCATCAAATTGTAATTTCGCAAAGACCATCTTGACTATCTTGCCAATTATGTGCACTGAGCAGATTTATTGAAATCCAATTTCATCCAAAGAGTTCAACTTTAGGCTCATGATACTTTTTCAACTGCCCACATCATCAAGATCAAATCACCAGCTCTCACATCCTCTAGTCTGCATCACTCAACAACAATCTTTTTTGTGGTACATACCAGCAGATTGTGACAAAGGATTGATCACAAATCAGATCACTTGTTACCTCCTTGAGCCACTTGAGCACACCAAGAACAATACACTTGCATACTGGAAGGACAGTGTCAAGACTTAACCCTACCTTGCCTGTAATGGTAATGACATACCTGGCTATCCCAGCTACCAACTGCCCTTCTGAGCACATCTGTTCCAAAGGTTCTGCTTTCCTCCAATCTTCAAGATCAGCACTTAATCCTGATCCTGAAGAGTGACTTCTTTGCGTCAAGGAGTGGTACCATGCCTTTATTCCAGCTTATTTTGATGGGCTTGATAATTAAAATTTTGATTATAATTACAAAAAGGATTTACCAATACGAAATGCAAAGTATGAAATCACACTGCTCAGCAACTGTGTGGAGTGCGGGGAATTTCCTCGGCTCCCCAATCCCAACTCGCCGCCACACCAGGTTCCTGAAGCGGGGCAAAGGCCCACCCTTGGGACTCGGATCCACGAGCAAAAAACTTACACCAAACTCACACGGGGTGATTTCTCGCCATCAGATCTTTTGCAGGAGTGATCATCCCCCAAAGATTGCTTTCAGGAGCAAAGAGAAAAAAGTATACATATCAATAAAAACCTCAAATCAAATCAAAATCTTCTCTCTCAAACAGTTTCTTTTTCAAGAATCGGGTATCTTCTCACCCTTTTTATTCATTTCATAAACCAATAATAATAATGACCATCTTCATCATCTTCTAAACCCTCCCGCTGAATGGAAATAAGTATACATGTTTTTTTTTTCTTTTTCTCTAAATAATAATCTAATCAAAAATTCCTCAATCGAAAAAAAAAAAAATTCTCTAATTCAAATCCAAAAATTAGAAATACATTCTAATATAATCGAAATCCCCCAAAAAAAAAGAAAAAGAAAAGATCAAGAGAATTGATTCAAGAGAGAGAAAAAAATCAAAAACGTTACAAAAAAACAGATACTAAACCATGATGAAAGTCGAAAGAAAAAAGAAGAAAAAAAAAGATGATTTATAGAAATCTAAATCACCATGTAAAACTTGACGAAAAAAAAAAGTACATTGAGAGGTTACATGTCTCATCCAATCACAGGAGAGTGATTTTCCTGGATTCAAAAAGCATCATTCCAAAGTCATCAAAAAACCTCATAATTGTTCATAAAACAACATGTATGCTTTAGTACTCATCACTTCTTCCACTTTCACCTTTCTTACTTCCCTATAATCATCCAACAAAACCAAATCAGATTCATATTGTTGTCAATCATCAAATAAAGAAAAAAAAACCATACTGACGTGTCACTACAGTATAACCAAGATCGCTCAGAACTACCACCATGATCCGAAAGCACATAACAAAAGTAATGTCCACCATTATCAACACCTTGATGGACCACCACAGCATATAAACCATAAATGACCGATTTATCAGATCGGGTCGGACAAAGAAACGGTTTAAAATCCAACTTAATTGGGAACGATATAAAAGGTTGTTCAACCTGTGATAAACCGGTTGGAGAACTTCGTTTCAGATGAAAGACTACAATCGGTGGTAAGTTTGAAATCAAATATCGTTTCCATGCTCTTCTTAAAATCACCTTGGGTGTTGTTGAAGTGATTTCACTGGATGATGGATTACTTGAAGAGGAGGAGGATGCTGATGATGAACATTCTGAACCACATGCTTCACATGCAAATCGATTCTCGCCTTCGAGTCGTTCGATTGAGGTGAACGACTTTAAGAGAGCTTCGAGGCCAGTCTCGGAGACTTTGTTGGGATTGCTTCCAAGCAGTCCAACTTTTGACAAGAGAGGATTAGGTTGTGAAAAGCGTAAAGCTCGTAATCCAGTAGCAGGTGGTGGTGGCGGTGGTGGTGTTCGAGCTGGTGCAGTAGGTGAAAGAATGCGTGCAAGCAGATCAAGTGGTGGTGATGAGGCCTGTGCTGAGGGGGCCACAAGAGGAGCGGCATCCTTTAGGGAGAGTAGATCCAAGGAAGTGCCCGAGAACGAGGAGCATAGGAATGGTCGATTGCTTCGTTGTCGACGAGCCGAAGTACCCGAGATAGTCATACTCCGGACCGGTGGACGGAAAGCCGAAGAGTTCGGAGCAGATGATCCACCAAGGAGGACTTGCTCCCAATCATCATGAGAGGGGAGTGGAGAAGGAGGTGGAGTGGACGGTGACTTGGATCTATTGAGCCGACCGAGTTTCTGACGAAGGCGAGCACGCTGAAGTTCGGAAGAGAGAGAAAAGCTGTCAGTTTGTGTGATGTAGCCTGTCGATCACAATGTACATACGTACTTTGGACATGGCTGGATTGGGATGACGTGTCGCCAGTGAGAGATCGAGAAATCCTTCCTGCACACTCGACACATGGAATCGTTCACAGACGGTATATTGAGTCAAAGATCCAGAAAAGAGGGAATCGAGTAAAGACGAATCTGGAATTGATGTGGATGAGGTGAATGATGAAGATGAGGCCGATGAAGAGGAAGAGGATGATGAAGATGAGAGGAGTGGGGTCGGCACCCGAAGGGAATGGCTATCCGGTCCATTGAGAACTGTAGATCCCACAACTCCGATCAGCCAAATGAATGAAGAAGGAATTTGAAGAAAAGAACTGACCATTGGATTGGTTTGAGTCAAGGATTGATGAAGTTTCAGAAGAACTTGACGGTACATTAGAATCGGCACAATGTTTGATAAACTGATTGGAGAAAATTCAATAAGTAACCAATCTAAAGAAAGAAGCAAAGAGTGAGGAGACTTACATTTGCCTCTTCAGAACGAATGAGATCCATCAAGATTCTTAAGAATTCATGAGCATCTTGTTGATCCTTACGACGATAATCCGGATGTTGAGAAGCAATGGATTTGAGTAAACCAATTGGTTTTAATGAACCAGAGTGAGTGTTAGAGATTTGATTGAATAATTTTGAAAGTTGAAGTAGAATTGGTAAATGAGATGATGAATCATGATGATGAGGATGATTTCGAATTAAAAGTTGAAGTGGTGTGATGGGTTGATTTAAATTTTGATTGGTGTTTAGTAAAGTTGATAATGGTCGAGTTGCATTGAGTGACTGTTTAACCAAAAAACAAACAAACAAAACTGTGAGCATTTCTTTCTTTGTCATGATAAAAAACATTCAAGATTAACCTGTAAGATTGAATTCATAAAACAAGTGTTTCCTAGATTAGCTATTCCAGGTAAAGAAGGTGAAGAATGTTGAGATTGAGTTCTTGATGATTTAGTATAAACATCAATGTTGTTGTTGTTGTTGTTTCGGAATGGCATGATGTTTCTTAAACAAGAAGAACAAGAAGATTGGATAAATAAAAAGAGGATGAAGTTGAAGAGAAATATCTTTTAAAGATAGTCAAGAAGTTGAAGTAAGGGAGAATTAGTTTGTCAAGATTCTCAAGAGTTTAAGGAGGTGTTTGAGATTGTTTATTTGTTGATCTGAATGGGTACTCTAACTCTGAACTGAAGATGGTTTCATATTTATAGTGTCTAAAGGAACATTCTTGATACAGTATAAAGAGATCGAATTCAAGGAACCAATTCAAAACCAATCAACTAACTGTTCATTGGTCATTATCACAATTTAAATCATTCAATCAAATCAGTTCACTTCAAAACACATCACATCCATAGATCTATTTAACCTTCGATCTACTTGTTAACCACCTTTTTGTACAAAACACTCACTCATGCATCTTGGCTACTTAAACTTCTACACTTGCTCAATGCTTTAGTTCATTTCACAATCTGATCAGTCTTACTTACTATTCTGTGATCCTCATCGAAACTTCAGTCTATCATAGCAACAACTATGTAGGTCGAATTTCAATGTGGGAAGATCTCATTTTAAACTTGACTCCTTTATAAATAGTTTGAGTCTCTGGTCAATGTTCAAATTCATCCACCTCTTTCACTTGACCTTACTCTACTACACTATATGCAAATCTTTCTAGTTCTACACATCAACTTAATCCCATCTCGCTCTCCCTCTCACCCTCTCATTTGGATATCAGCTCAAGAGCCAAGACTGTGTACCTGTGAGCAGCCATCTGAATATGTGCCATCACAACCACACTATTGGAACCAGCTTCTCATTTTCCTACAGACACACGCACACAGATCATTCATGATCAATTTCAAACAAAAGAGAAAAAGAGGCTCAAAGAACGAGCAAAGAAGGCAGCAATCAAAACATGAGATTAAGAGACCGATTGATCTACTCAAATCAATCAGTTGGTTTAATCAAATTTAATCCAATAATACCAGTACTACTCTTAGTATTCTCTTTTTGTGTTTGTTGTTGTTGTTGTAATTGAGTTTGTTGTCGAGTTTGAAAATGTGATTCGATAGCTTGAGCTCTCGCAATCTAAACCATCAAATCCAAATTCAAATTCAATTCAATTCTTGAGGTCATGAAAATCAGAAAGATCATGAGTCTTACCTCTTTTCGATGATTCAAACATTCATTGTAATCTTCTACTTCTGAACGACAATCGATCGGTCGATCTGCACTTGCATAACATTTTTGAAATTCTAATTTGATGCAACCAAAGGTGTTGATGATGAACATTCAATCTTTTGAATACTTGAAGAAACTCATTGTGATCTTCTTGATTCTCACTCACCCTGCCAGAAATCAAAACATCGAGGCCTTCCACCCGTATAAGAAAATCCAGACTAACAAAGAAACCATGCAAACGATCAATCCAATGATCAGATCAATTTTGTCGTTTCGAACACCAAGATCAAGATCAAACTGGTATGATGAATTGGTAAGTGCTTTAACCTACCGACATTGCCAATCAAAGAGTCAATGATTTGATGATTTTCAATGCAAACTTGCCAAAAGGTTTAACTACAGAAAAATTCAAAAGACCACAAATAAAGATCAGTTTGATCGTCAAACCGAATAATTAAGAACCCAATCTAGCGGAACTCACGTTTGACAATCTTGATCGAAGATGAATGGATATCAAGCTTTTGAGCAAATGGTGTGCACTGTGGAATGGTGAAGATCGGAACGGTGACCCGATTGATGGGATCACTCATCAGGGTGGCGTGAAGAACTCGGGAGTACCGAATCCCGATGACAGAAGAGTATATCTGCAATGTACAGATGTCACACAGGTGACACTTCGACCACTCCAGCTCTCATATTTTGACGAATATTTGACTTCAACCCCTTTTGAAATTGATTTGTTCATGATGATTGAAGTCTTCTCATTGGCTAATAACAACACGGCCACTATACTATACTATACCAGTATAGCACTGTAGGTGACCATTGGTACCAGTATATTCTGATTCATCATCTGTCACTATTACTCAGTTGCACACTTATTGAGGGCTTAGTTGTGACAATGGGAGGGATAATCCTTGATTAATTTCCAGAGAGAATAGTGGATGAGAAGCCAGGCACTAACCCTCAGGTTAAAAACCTGAAGCTGAGCTCTTGATGAGTAAGCTCTCAACAGCTGTCGAGAGCTTGAAAGATATGCCCCCACCTTTTATCACAACCACACATTTTTACCTAGTGTCACATGCACATTACGGCCACACTCCATCAAACCTCATAGGCTTCTTTCCCTTTGTGATGTTAATTTATAATGTCTGGCTTGCTCTGTTAAGACAATACAATGGGTTGTGTGGAGAAGAAGGGATGTGTTGGGGAGATAACAGAGGACAACACATGGACCTGATTAAGTGTGGGTTGAGTGGATGTTGTGGTCTTATTCTGTTCCATGTTGAGGTCTCCATTAAATTTTTTGTCTGAAAAAGAAATGAGACCACCTTGAAGGCATTGACACCAAATGAAGGATAGTCTAGTTAATTATCTACCATGGTGTGTATCCTCAATTACTCTTGATGTTCTCATGCATAAAAGATTCATGTGACTTGGAGTGCCCAAAAGTTGATAGATATCCTGATGCTTAGAGATTTGAACATAGTAATTGGATGGGTACATGATCATCAATTTGGAACAGTAGAACTATCCTTGAGACTGTATATACCCAGCTCCAGCCCCCAGCCCATCTCCCGCCCTCAGCTCTTTCCACATTGTTGTTTTGGTTTGAACTCGTGCTGAGGCAATTTCTGCTTCAGGTAGCAAGGTTTTGTCTCCAGAATATCAGAATCTTTGCAATAGAGGTGGATTCAACTGAAGCAAAAATCTAGAATCCTCTCATACTTCTGTGCAACTTTGGATACCCCATATATGTTCTTCATCATTGTTGGCATCCAAGTGGCAACAGCTGACACCATCTGGTAAGATTAAAAGATAATTTACAAAAGCAGAAAGAAATAGATTTTTTTATGGAGCTTATAAATAAATTGAAAGGGTTGTGTCACCATGAACATTCCACAATTTTGAAGTCCTGGGACTACAAAATATTGTGTAAGGCTTTATATATAATCTCAGTTTATGTTGTGTGGTCCCTTGCATTTGCAAAATATTGTCCAGGTCAAGCAAAAAGGTGTGAATGAGACCCAGGCTGAGTTGGTGTACTGGAAAGCCAAGGAAAAAGCAATCATGACTCTACTTGCCTCTGAGAAGTCAAGCACTCCTTGAAGATTCTCGTGAAAATCGAGCTAATTGTATCCGAGTGTATGTAGAAGGATCATCTTTCAACCAACTTCACAGCCTTGATGACTTTGTGAGCCTCAAAAACGCACAACATCGATGGGGTTTTTCTTGTTCAACACCATTCTCATAAACTCTCATAATGATATATTAAATTGTGAATTTCATTGCTACTTCCATTACTCTCCAATGATACAGAAACTAGAAGAAAAAACTGATACAGACGCATGACAAAAGCTTCAAGGATGGTGCTCAACGAATATGAGCTTGAGTAAGTAGAAAAAATGTTAACCAGGTGGAAAGAAAGACTTCATGCTATCATTTGAGCTCAAGGAACCACTGTTGGCTCTTGTCATCCTTCAATCAAATAACAAACCAAACAGAATCAGCGCTGCCCATCAAGCCGAGAATGAGAGCAATAGAAGAAGACATGTGAGACTTGGAACTCAACTGGATCCAGACTACTCATTACTACGCTCAATTGATTTCCTATCGTTCTCTTTGACTGAGATGACAGAACGCGAGTCTCCATGTCCTGAAGTCAAATGGAAAATTGTTACCCTTCCAGTCAACGATCCCAAATGTTAAGATCACCTAGTACTCACATATAGATGATCCACCGCGATCACAAAGAAAGCTCCGAGTTTAGTGGATGACGAGGTAGGCGAGTGATGATCGTGACGAGCTGAAAGCCGCGGCGCCGAGTCTGAAGGCTCTTCCCCCTCCGCTCCCGAAACCTGAGCCGTCCCATCCGTCATATTCCCAGCCGAGGCAACGTCTTCGGGTTCAGTCACCGGTTCAGTTTCCTTCAGCGATCGTTTGTCGTATTTCCAAGGTGGGAGCGTTTCCATACGGTTGGTCTTTGTGTTCCAAAACGGCAAGCCTTTGGGGGAATCGTTCGGTTGTGTTGAACGCTGAAGACCTAAAGACGCAGCCTCTTCAGATATATCGTCAACCTTCTCCGTAGGATCTGCTTGCACGGCTCTAGATTTTCCAGAGGGCTTGTGAGATAGTTTGAGTGATTTTGCTGTCTCCACCGGCATCAATAGCCACCACCTTCGATATACATGTACACCAGGTATCAGGCTCAGCGTTCTCGATCAAGATTAGGCATAAGGAGATCACTGACTGTTTGGTCTTTTCAAGACTAGCCCCCAGATTGAGTGGATCGACAACGCATTCATAAAGTGTGCCGGCCTATGTGACGATCAGAGAAAATCAGCGTCTTGGTCATGCGAGCCTCAAGAAATATACGCTGACGTGGTCCGCTCCCCCCTTGGCTCCATCAGTTTTCTCATCCCATTGTGCGCTGATGCATTTAGTTGAGTCTTTACCATCGAGTGGGGTACGTAAGCTGATCCACTTGGTTCCCATTTTATGAGCGCGAAGCGCCAGTTGAGGGCGTTTCACGCGATGGCCCAATCTTCCACGAGGGTACACGAACTTGGCAGAATATATGTTGGGGACGTTGTGCTTTCGATCGTGGTGAATAATATGGCCAGTAGCAACATTTGAAAAGACATATCGACCATCCGGCGGTACCACCGCCGCAGACTGAATAATTCGTGCGTTGTGATAGTTGTTGAAAACGTCGGCAGATATCATTGAAGAGAAAGTGACTAAGATGGGAAAAAGTACTCGTAAAGACTGCATGACGTATAATGATATTTGTAACTCTTGACTGATTCTAGGGGGTTCAAGGGTTCGCAACTGAGATGGGTGCCGAGGGAACGAATGTACGGAGTGAAATGGTTGATCACGTATTGAAAAGGTATAGGTGTCTGTTGAAGCGAAAAATCGAAATGCTGAACAAATAGAAACTTGGATCGTGCTGGGTTTGACAATGAGCGTTCTTGAACAGAAAATTTCAGGGCAACAAAGAATTCGGCCCAGGTTCGTGAGCTCTGATCAGTGAGATCGTTGATCGTCACCCTGTGTCTATACCTCTTGCCCTGGTTCAAGCTAGACTCCATGAAAAAAAGTAGAAAAGCAATGTAAGAGATCGTACCGATGGCGGATGGGGTCGCAGAGCCTGGTCGGAGGTTAGAGCCGTACGCTAGTTTCTACTTCGATCTAGACTCTAGCAGGCTGCAGCGGCCTTTTGCCATATACGAATAACAAACTTCTCCCGCGAAATTATCTCTGTTGAAAACGAGAGTTAACATCTGCTTCAGGCGTCAGTCATACAAAACATTTCAAGGCTCTTGCAGTATTAGTGGGAGTCTGATCTTGGGACCCCCCTTTATTTCTATTGGAACATATCTGAGAGAAGGGATAAGGGCAAATGATATTGTTCTGCTCTTCAATATATATTGAATCAGCAGAGGAATTAAATTAACAGGCAAAGAAAATATGTTGCATCAAATTGTAAGAAAAGAATGCCTTTGACTGGAAAGATAGTCATAGGATAGAGTCATGGATGATTCGAGTTCTTCCACCCATCTTCTCGTGAATTGGATACCTAATGACAAATCGATCACTCAAACTAGCCTCATTACGATCCATTAAAAGATTAATGTTACTTTGGGCACCATCAAAGACTTCAAAGAGCTTCAAAGCTCTATTGTCAAGTGTAGAAACCTGATGGCCTCTGGGCAAAAGATGCACATCTAGGCGGGCGGGCATGCGCCGTACAGATGTCAGTGACACCACCCGGTGCTGGCCCTGGTATGCGGCGCGCCCCCCGAAGCTTTGTAAGCGACTCCTACATCACGCACCTGCATTCTCTTCCACTCCAGCTTTCTCTTTGGGCTCGTTTGGTCAGATCTTCAACATTCATCTCATGCCGAATAATCGTTGGCGATTTCTAGAAGATGTCCAACGCGGCTTCCTCTAGCAGTCTTGCCCTATTGGTTTCCGACTTTCAAGCGTTAGCGTCTGAGACCAAGCGCAAACATGCTGACGTCAGGGAGGTGAACACCACTCCCAGTACCAGCTCAAAGTTTTCTATCGTACGCTGATATCTAATCAGAGTCCATCCAGGCAGCGGACAAGGCCCTCAACCTGCTCAGATCAACCCCCGATCAAGTTTTGGCTTCATTTCGCAAGAAAACTACCCCTCCCTCTACCTATGTTGAAGACATTATCAAACCCATATTCATGGGATGTGGGACCAAGAATGTCAAGGTTGTGGCAATTGCGCTTGGTAGTCTCCAACGCTTGATCAGTATGGACGTCATGCCACCCGTGAATAAATGGACTTATCTCAAGAGCTTGTGGAGTCCATCATTGACAAGAGTTTTTGTTTTGTCCTTTTCGAAAATAGAGCAAGATACCACAAATCGTTGCGATTCTGACTTCAGTGTTGCCTCTGGGGGTTGAAATCCAACTACGAATCTTGCAAACCTTGCCTTCGCTCTTCACTCGATGTTCTCTTTATCTTCACGATACTCTTCTGGCGGATGCGCTTCTATTGTGCTTTCGACTTCAAGACTCTCGAATCGGAGTAGTCAGTTCGACTTCGGCAGCGACTTTACGACAGCTAGTGATGGTAGTTTTTGAAGGCGTAGCAGAAGAAGATCAAGCTGTGCGGGTGGCTTCTACCGCTGGTTCTCAGCTTGATCCAATTCGAGAAGAAACAAACTTTTCCGTTATCATCCCGACGTCCGAACGATCCAATACGGGTGATCCGACCGAAGCTGCTGAGGAGCGGAAGATAGTCCTTCGTCCTAGTGCCAAAGATGCTTACCTGGTGTTCGAAGACCTATGTCTTTTAGTCAATGGCGATTCTCCCTCTTTTCTCAAGCTACAGAGTCTTCCTAAGACCTTTGGACTCGAGCTCATTGAGAGCGTCATGACTGGACATAGTCACCTCTTTCAGCAAGTTAGTCCAAGGTCCACCTCAACAAGTGTATAGCTGCTAACTGGTCTTGTTGTCACGTAGCATCCTGAACTCATCTTTGTGTTGCGCGCTCAATTGTGCCCTCTCCTTATCCGAGCAATGAGTGAAAAGCCCGTCTTTGCGCTCACTTTGCGCCTCATGCGTGTCGCGTTTTTACTATTGAAACAGTTTTGTGACGAGCTTGTAGTAGAGTCTGAAGTGTTTCTTTCTTTGCTTATCAAGACGGTGGCAATTGATCATACCGACGGCCACACTGATCCTGGACCTCTATGGATGAGAGTTCTGGCTCTCGAAATATTCCGGGGTCTTTGCGCAGACTTTGCTCTTTTGATTCGAATCTATGAACGATACGACTTGGACCACTCGGATCGGACTTCTGGGATCTTCACATCAATGATGAGTACTCTCAATCGCCTAGCTTCAGAGCGACCAACTCTTCTTGGAATCAACAATGATATCACAAGCGGTCCTTCATTTGCGCATCAATCTTCACCTGGCGCAAATGTAGGAGTACAGGGAATGATCGATGGCGTGGTAGGTATGGCCACACAAGCAGCAGCACCTCTCGTGGGAGCACAACAACAAGGTGGTCTGACACTTCCAACAGCTACCATGAAGTTACAATGTATAGATCAGCTGGACAAAGCAGAGGCTCCACCGATTCCCGAGACCTACGTCTATCTGCTCTCTTTGCAATGCCTAAGTAACGTCGCGGAAGGTTTTGCCGGACACTCCCTATCCCGGTATGAAGAGATACGCAGACAGGGACCTTCACAGTCTCCCGATGGAATGCTTTCTGCTCCTACGGCTCTCAATCTTGATAACTTGGCGTCGCAGCCTGTAACGGACAAACTGCGAATCATCAGGAACATGGCAGATGCAAGCTGGCCAGCCTTACTCGCTTCTCTCAGCTTCTTCGTGGCCACGAATCTTGATGACGACCTATTCTCGGAGACGCTATCCTCAATGCAAAGTTTCACATATGCATGTGGCGTCCTGAACTTACCTACGCCTCGAGACGCTTTCCTGCTCACCTTCTGCAAGTTTGCAGTCCCCCCAGCAATTGTGGCTAATGTCGCAGCTGAAAGTTCCGGTAGCACTGCCATGAAACCATCGCAAAGCGTGCTCAATGTCGACAATTTGGGACTTGGGACGACTTCAGCTCCGACTTCGCTTAGTACTCGGAGCTTCGCATTCCTTAGAACGGTTTTGTCTGTAGCGCAATACTTGGCAGGAAGTCTTGATACCACCTGGTACACTGTCTTCGATACATTGCAGAATGCCGAGTTTGTGTTGAGTTCAAAGTCTAAAAAGCGTCCCGTAAGCACGATGTCGTCTTCAACACAGCCATCGGTATTGTCTAGCGCGGAAACAGATGAAACTGGCATTCAGAATAGTATTCAGAGACTTTTTGAGTGCTCTCGATCGTTGGAGGCTGCTGCCTTTACAAGCTTTATAGCTTCACTATGCCGACTGAGCTCCGAGATGGCAGGGCTTATCTCGGACGAAGAGCAAAGTAATCCAGTCGAATTACCCAAGACTCCCACTTCCATCAGAAGGCGTGCTAGTGGAATGAATTCCTCACGTGTATTTGTATGTTGTTCGTTGCAACTCCTGCAGTCGATATGAATGCTAACATCTTATTGGTGAATATCATTTACCAGCGCCCAAATGATAGATCCTTTTGCGTCACGAAGCTGGGCGCAGTTGCTCTTCTCAACATCAGTCGCATCATAAACGTGGACTCAGAACTGGGATGGACGCCAATTACGTCCCACCTACTGGCAGTTATGCGGTTCCATGAAGCACCGAGCAATATCCGCTTGCAAGCAGCAGATGCTCTAGATCAGATCTTACTGTCTGCGCCGAAACATATTTCAGATGCTGATGAATCAAATCAGCGGCGAGTCCAAAACCAAATCATCGAAACCCTCTCTCGGCAAACGGATCCCGAATCCAGGCCACAGAATTCAACTGATTTAGAAGTTCGCAAGTCAGGTTTTGATACGCTGTTCAAGATCTTGGAAAACAACGGACATTCTTTCATCGCCGGATGGCTGAGCATCTTGGATGTTCTGTGTACTGCTTGTCCTTCACCACTCGCTTATGAGCCCAGCTACCTTTCGGTGACCCCGTCCAAGAAGTCCACATCAAAGACCTCCACATCAAAGACCTCCACGTTGATTCGAGCTAGTTTCCCCTCGCTGCAACTCATATGTACTGATTTCCTAACAGCACTCGAACTTGAAGAGCTCCGCCAGTGCATCAATGTTTTGGCGGAGTTTGGTAGGCAGACAGAAGACATCAATATTGCCCTTACAGCTGGAGGACTTTTGTGGCAGGTCTCTGATCACGTTCAAGGGAAGAACAAAGCCACCAGCTCGGATGATCATCGTTACGTGGAATTATGGATGTATCTTTTATCCAAGCTTTTGGAACTGAGTGATGCGTCACGACAAGAAGTCAGAGATGGGGCGATCCAAACGCTGTTTCGCACCATTGGTTTATACGGTACCCTTTTGTCGGAAGCTGTCTGGTACGAACTTCTGTGGGAGGTTGTGTTTCCCCTTATCGATCTCCTCTCAAAGTCCATCAGTTGCACTACCCCTGGGATAGAAGAGCAATCAACAAACGATACAAATTCTCAATCTATGCGGCAGCCAAACGGCGCCTCCCTCGCGCTCTCTGCCAAACAGCTGGATGACTCGAAAATATTGGTTTTGGAGTCTACTGGCAAAGTTCTGTTCGACCACATGTCTTCTCATATCATCAAGACGCCCAAATTCCACGAGACATGGAGTACTCTTATTCAACACTTGCACCAAAGTTTCATTCGCGATCGGCCGGCCGTTGGTACTGTGGCGATGAGGACGATGGCAACGATTTTGAGTGCTGATCTCAGTAACTGCAATGATGAAGAGGCGATCAAGGCGGCTTGGGAGTATGCTTGGGATTCCGTTGTGCAGATGGGCAAGACTATCTCGACCAAGCACGATCAACAAAGCTTCTCGGGTATCTACTTCACACAAGTTGCCCTAGAAGCATATGTCAAAGTCATGCGACCTCTACAAACTGCTGCGCGATTGAAAATGGATTTGGAGCGGGTTGCGACGTTACTTAACATCTGCAAGTCTGTCGTCACTTATACTCATAGTCCCGACTACCGCCCGGATGTGGATACCTTGCCACCCTTACAATCAGCTGTAATGTCGACTCTTGACGAAGTTCGGCTTGAGACTCCCGGAGTTCCTTCAGCACTCATCACACTGCTTTCCGACCTAAGTACTTTGGCATTCACTTCTTCATTTGATGCTCACGATCCTTCGTCCAACCGTCCCACCTCTACACATGTTTCCTACGTTGCCATATGTAAGGCAGCCCAGCCGAGGCTCGTTGGACTACACGCAAAGTTCAACTCTTTACCAGACATCTACAACACTAAGGCCACCTCTCAGCTGTTTCTCGTAAGCTTTCACCCACCATATTTTCTCAGCTAGTTGACGGCTGACATTGGCGTCTCACTTAGTCATTCTCGGTGGCGATGAAATCCAAATACAAATGCCCACCTTCTTACAAACATGGCAAAGCACCACCGCTCTGGAAGACGGCAACCACCTCTTTTCTGACCATTGTACGAAACTGTTTACCGAACCTTTTGCACATTGAAAAAAGTGTTGAACCGACAGCATTCGGAAACGTGTGGGCTCAACTAATTGAAACGTTCTCCGCAGGCTTGCTAGCTGATTGGTAAGCTCGGCGTGACTTGTTTTCCTATCAACATACCTTTATACATAAGTTGATGAAAGCATGTATAGTGAATTTTCCCAGTCCTTAGAATTGGACCAGCAACGTGCCGAAGAGAACTTTGATCTTGCACTTATTGGTAAGATATTGACTTTGCTTGTGCATTCGCTGTACATATATATATACTAACAAACAGCGATGACTTTCAAAGCCTCACTGGAAGTAGATATATTGCCCCATCTAGGTGGACCTGGCATCCCAGACAAGACAATCCAATCACTCGCTAATGCTCTACAAGAAGCTTCACGACTGCACGATTTATCTTCATTGGCCTCGCCCTCGACACTCTCAACATCCTCGCTGCTTGGTGAAGCCATCAATTCACATGAACACACCCCTCGGAAAGAAACACGTTTTATCTCTGACTTCGGCTTCCAAATAAACGATGAAGTTTTTGGCACGTCTGCTGAAGCAGTAGCCCGACCACGTGAGCGGTTTGCTTACTGGTGCTTTGATTTGTTATTTGTATATTGTCGTCGGGTTGAGAAGTGCGACAAAGGTACGTTTTTTCAAAGTCATCTCCACTGTCCTGAATTTCTTTAGCTTGGCTCACATGACGCCATCCCAGAACTCGAACGAAGACGAGTAGCCGCGCTTTGTTTCCCCGCTTTGTTGGATCGATGTTCCGCTGCCATCAAGACATACGTCGCGGATGCGGGCCTCCGAGGCCGTGTGCCATTTTCAAGGTAAATATATCTTGGATGTTGCTTGTATCACTTGACTAATCAACTCTGTTCCAGGATTCGCGACGAAGAGATTGTGTACATCTTACAACAGTTACTTCGTATATCTCCCTATGAAGGCTCTTTGGCTGCATCCATGTCACCAGGTCCAGCTTCAATGCTCCCGGGTAAGTGTTCACAAATTAAGCTTGGTCAAAGTCATGCGCACTCTGACGCGATGAACATCATTCAGACATTGACCCATCGTTAGACCCCGAGACCATGCTTAAATGTCTATTGACCCGCGGTCCCGATGCCCATCTCTTGTATCTGCAACCTCTGTTCCTTGATCTCCTTTCGCTCGAAGCATCCTCCCCATGGAGCGGCCAGAGGTACTCGGCATTTCCCGATGCTTGTGACAGCAATTTCACGCTCTTTCGAGACTTGCTACAAGCGACCGATTCCAGGGGAGAAGGGCTGGACGGTCGTTGGCCTTCATTGATGCTTGGTCAGGTTGGGGTACGAAAAGACGACAGACAGGACAGGTATGAAAACGACGCCAAACGCCTTGCGCTCATGTGCTTGCGGAGGATACAGACACGGACAGCCATTGCAATTGGATGAAGACAAGACTTGTGTACAAATTAGTTATGTTGCCGTGTAAATAGTAAACCTCGATGCCGTGCTGTCATGGACCATGTTTGATCAATGGCCGTGATCAGAGTTGTGCAATGCGTCTAGCAAGCAAAGATGGTCGAATTGTAAAAGTCCTTTGTTAGAACCCCGAGCAGCTGTGTGCAGACTAAGATCCAGAGAAAAGCTCGCGCTGAGAGCCAGGTCGAGTACAAGCCGAATGTACAGCATGAATTGTAAACACCAGACCAACATTTTCCCCCAAGGCACTGCACTGAGAAAACACACCTCAAAATTTACGGCTCAAGTTGCCAAAGGAGAGGATCTGGTCGGTGTAGTCCTCCTAGAAGTGATAGAACGGCGCCTCGGCACACTATTCTCTTCTTATGTGTTCAATATTCCCTCACTCAGTGCTCACACTCTCCCAGCCGACAGATGCATTCTTCAGCAGTTTTATCTGGTTTACACTGCACAATAACAGGCAGAAGAATGTGCCAAGCAGGTTGTACAACTTGTAGCAGTGCTTGTCCTCTGACGTTATTCGTATTTTACGAAGTGCGCAATGATACACCACGGGGGGATCCTGGGTCAGAAGTTGATCCTGACTGGTCTTAAAAACGTCGGATCGTATTCTGACCCGAAGCTTGTCCCTGGGTAGACAGAAGGCCACCCCGCGCTGGCCTTCCTTGGCCGCCCCTGTTTGAGCCCTGAACAGCCTGCAGCCCAGCTTGTAGACGCGCCCATAGGCGGCCTGTTTGGTCAGCAGTCGGTATTGCGCGGCACCTTCCCAATACTGACAGCAGAGGCATGCAGGACAGGGTAGGCCGCAGGACAGACTTCGCAAAGCCTCCCTTGCGTACAAGTTTTTCTTGTGTCGCGTGCTCCCCCCTTTGGTTTCCCCCCAAGCATCATCCGCAAGTTTTAATTGTCTTCCAAACTTCTTTCAAAGAATTGTCAACTTCTCAGTCACCTTCCAATTTTCACTGCCCTCAAGTACCTTCACCTATCATGTTCTCTCAACAATTACGCGCGGTGGGATCCTATTCCACTCCATCCATGAGACAGCACTCACCTTTAAACCCTTTCTCTCTCAGTCGTTTAGCTGGCGCGGGTGGACAGACTGCTTCACTAGTTGCGCGTCAAGGGGCTTCTCTATTACTCTCAACTATTTTGCATTCATCTTTCAAGTGAAATTCATCCATCCCTCTTCCATACAAATAATTGATTTCCCAGGAACCAAGAAGAGAAGCATGAGTAAGTCAAGTGTTTCAATGATCTTTAACAAGTTTCAAGCTCTCACCCTTCTTTTGTATTCCCATTAAATCGTTTTATCAACCTTCACTCTCTCCTAACCTCCTCGAACTCTATCTAGAAAATGAATCGTTAATTCTTGAATCGAGTATCAAAGGAGGGTAAGCAAGAAGACCAACCTTCTGGAA